TAGGAACGCACGATGTTCTTTGAACATTATAGGGATTTCCTTTCGTGCGCTCCAAGCGATAAAAAAAAGTAGCCTCCTCGGGTAGCTCAAATGTTTTCTTCTCCGCCTTCAACTTCTACAGCACTTTCTGATAACTTGAATAATCAGATCAATGAGCATAATTTTGTCTCAACAGCAGCCAAACAAAACTGAGATAAGGAATTCAGCGTGTCCTAATAGAAGCTATTTCAATATGCATTTGGGTGTCATAATGACTTCATTAAAGACGCAAAATAGAATAACTGAATTAAAGCTTGTAAAAAATGTAAAAAATAGACCATTGTATCCAGATTTCAAATACTTCATTGACAAGATGTAACATCTCTTGTACAATTAGAAAATGTTCAAGGGGTTAATCTGTAGGGCAGGAGGTTAACAGTTGGTTAAAATATTGAATGCAAAAAAATTATTTTCAAAATCGAGGTGTCCAAGGATTTTTGAATATTTCCGTTATGAGGTTACGGATTTCAGTCCATCATAGATTTCCACCATATATAAAAGCGAGCATATAGTTGAAACTAAACTACTAATATGAACATTCAGTTCCCTACATCTGAATAAATGAGGGGGGAATCAGATAGTCCATGTTGAGTATGCAAATCGTTTTCAAGATAATTTTGCATTCATTAGAGTGTATTGCTATCTATAAGTGACAATGATTGACCTAGGGTATATACAGCAAACAAGATAAAATAAGAATAGAATAAAATAATTTAAGAAATAAGAATTATGAAGACCAATTAATACAGATAAATAATATTGAATAGGGAATGAGAATGGACCAATCACATCAGTAACACAAATCCATTTTGACCAATTGAATCATGCTTCTATGACATGACTTTTATGTCAACTGCCGACCTGACATCTGCACATGCGCACTTCCATTTCCAAACAAAATAAAAAGTTAGAAGTTGCCCCACTATCAATTCATTCCTTAGTTTTCATTTTATATTAGTTCATAGATAAAAGTTTCCATTATAATACTTATGTTGAACTTTCTTATCTAATATATAATAAGCGGTATGCCCTCCTGATATTCAAGTGGCCAATGAAAATCATATTGAATGTTTGTTTACTCTCAAGCTTCCATGCATTTTATCGAGAGTTTAGTAGTCATGGTGATATTTTTCAAGTTTGAATTTTTCAGTAGAGTATCTTGAATTTATATTGCTTGGTTTCACATGTCATTCTTGAAAGTTTTCTGCATTTTACAGTAAATTATGATTTCAACCAGTGTATAATTGAAAGATATTCTCCCAACTTCCAGATTTAATACAGATGCATTTTATTCCCAGAAGTGTAGTTACAAAAGGAATTTGAAAAAATGAAATCCATACTCAAAAGCAAAGCACATAATATGTTCAATTTTTCCTATCAGAGATAGATCCATTATTCACACATACATCCAGCTTTGAGGACTTTTTCTCTTTCACATGAATAAATGTGAGTAGATGATTGGACTACAATGTAATATACCTCTCAAATACCCACTCTGTGAACTGCAACATCATATTCACTCGACTTAGGTATTTTGCAATATTTATATCACTACTGAATGGGAACAAAATGCAAACTGAGATAAACTCAAATTGGGGCATTTGTATTTGAAGTAGTGAAACACAATTTATTGAATGAAGATCTGCTGAAAAGCTCCCTCAATTCACAAGTGTACACAAATTAACAACCAAAAGTGACCAGTGTGAAAGCAGCAATGCAACGTCGTCCAGCAATGAATGAGATCAACACAGGCAGGCCACAGAGAGACGAGAAACTCTTTCAAATAGAATAGAAATGAAAATATTATGAATTTCACGATTTGATCTGCTATAATAAATAGAAATCAAGATTTGATCTGCTTTAATAAATAGAAATCACTTCACTTGAGATAGTTGTGTGATTTTGTAGCATCCATTCCACCCCTCTCTCACCCTCTTATCAATATAATTCAAATCCCAACTTAGAGGTCAAGAATTGATTTTTTTCTTGAAACAGATGTAAAATAGCTTCCTGTATTCCAAGAAATATATTTAAAAAACTATGAACTCGGCTCGGAACTCGGTGATTGTGTAGTAATTTACGAAACCATGAAGTGAAATGGAAAAAGGACTTGTGTAGTTATCTCTTGGTGACGTAAGTTGGAATTTGAATTATATAGATAAGAGGGTGAAAGAGGGATAGAATAGATGCTAAAAAATCAGACAACTATCTGTTCGTATTCAGAAAGCTATTTTACATATTTTTCAAGAAAAAAATATTCCAAAAATTCTTTCCAAAGGTCTAAATTGGAATTTGAATTATATTGATAAGAGAGTGAGAAGTATCTGATCCAGTTCAGGAACCTATTTCACATCTGTTTCAAGAAAATAATCTTTGAACAATTCTTTCCAAATGTCGAAGTTGGAATTTGAATTATATTGATAAGAGGGCGAAAGAGGGTGGAATGGTTGCTACAAAATCAGAAAACTATCTGATCATGTTCAGGAAACTATTCCACATCTGTTAAAAAAAAAATTTCAACTCTTTCCAAAGCTCAAAGTTGGGATTTGAATTATATTGATAAGAGGGTGAAAAAATCAGACAACTATCTGATCGTATTCAGAAAACTATTTTACATCTTTTTCAAGAGAAAAATATTCCAAAAATTGTTTCCAAAAGTTTAAGTTGGAATTTGAATTATATTGATAAGAGAGTGAAAAAGGGGTGGAATGGATGCTACAAAATCAGAGACAACTATCTGATCGTATTCAGGAAGCTATTTTACATCTGTTTCGAGAGAAAAATCTTTCAAACTTTTTTCCAAAGCTCTGAGTTGGAATTTGAAATATATTGATGAGGGTGAGAGAGGGGTGGAATGGATGCTACAAAATCAGGCAGCTATCTGATCGTGTTCAGGGAGCTATACATCTGTTTCAAGAAAGCAATTTTGCAAAAATCAACTCCTGTCCTCTAAGTTGGAAATTGAATTATATTGATACTAGGATGAAATAGGGGTGGAAAAGATGCTACAAAATCAGACAACCATCTGATCATATTCAGGAATCTTGCAATAATCAATTCCTGACCTCTTAGTTGGAATTTGAATTATATTGATAAAGAGGGTGGAAGAGGGGTGGAATGGATGCTACAAAATCACACAACTATCTGATCTTGTTAAGTGAGGTGTTTTCTATTTATTATATTAGATTAAATGGTGAAATTCATAATATTTTCATTTCAAATTCGATTTGAAGGAGTTTTATTGATATTGTCTCTCTGTGACCTGCCCCTGTTGATCTCATTTGTTGCTGGATGATGTCTTGTTGCAACTTTCACACCAGTCCAAAAGTGAAGTTTTCTTTGCTCAAATCACTATAAAAAAATCTAAATAATGAACACAAGCATATGAACCATTTCAAAACAATGTACTTCCATATAGTTCACAACTACATTCAATCTGCTAAGATGCTAAGGGGGAAAAATTGGAGCATTCCTCTATGCCATCATAAACACAAGGATTAAAAGAATGATTCTATTCCTGGATTATTCCATCCTTTATTCCACTTTCCACTATGAATAAACCAATTAGTTTTCTTAAAAGAAAGGACAAGATAACTGCAAGTTAGATCATAGATAGATAGATACTTTATATCAAACAAAACATATAAATAAATATTTGTCATGTTCAATTTAATTATTATAGGTACTCAATCAACTTGAGTTGGATGAATTGTTTATGTAAGCTAAACTATCAATATTATGATTCTTATTCATAAATGCAATATGGCATCATGATATGGTTCATGAGAATGCAATATTGGAGCAATGCAATTGTGACATTTTGTAACCCCGCTTCCCCCCATGGCGTTGCGTCGCGCGACCCATGAGCAGAAGTAACAAAACATTCCACTACATGGATGGCGACGACGTGAAATTCCGAGGTCGCGCATGCGCAGAAGCGGATTGCCGTTTCTACGGCCTGTGAGAGGCCCGTGAAAGGAGAACACAGAAATACATAAAAACAAAAAGAATGAACTCCATATGAACGTAAAAATCTGGGATAGGCGTCCTGCTCCTACCAATTACTGAATGAATTCGAGGATTTGCTATCACAATTACCTAATCACAGGGGGAATAAAAATATTAATATTGGCCAGTGATCAATGTAGTTCTGTTTAAGCATTTTATTAAGTTGAGCTCTGTAAATAGAATCAAAATGGGTAGGCAAACATGTTATGTAACTTTCATGATATTTTGATAAACAGTTCATTTATTTCTGGACCGGAATGAAAACAGAGATACTACCTATGGTGAAGGAACACCAATTTTAAATATGCATTTGTTTATTATCAATGATGCAAAAAAGGTCAAATAGATGGTTGGTCAATAATTACACTGAAGTATACCTACATTAGAATGATATTATGAGCATGCATAAAATAGTCTTACTGAGAGAAGAAGTTATGAAAAAGGGTAAGATATACATTGAATCACTTCTGTGAAGTGATCTGTTAACTTTTTGGTCGTCCATTTTATAATCAGATCAATTGAGGAAATATTTAGAACAGATTGTGATGACAGATCAAAACATTACAATAGTAGTACACATCAAAATTCATTTCAATACACCTATAGGAACACAAATTATCTGAAGAAAATTTAATGAAATAACTATTTATATTACAAAAGCTTGTAAATATGAATTCCTGGCAATTAGCATTTCTATTTTATGTCAAATGGAAGACCTTTTCTATGATACACAAATAGCTTGAAAACCTACAAAACTCTATAGTTGGATGATGAATGTTAATTTATTCTCAAAATAAAATTTGTGTGTATAATAAAGGCATAGGTCAACCCTATAGGTTCAACGAAATAAAACGTTCCAATAAATAACGTGATAACATCGAACTGATAATTAAAATGATCGAACTTGGTACAATGCTCGGTAGTATTAGGAACAGGTAAAATGAGAAACTCACCTCAAAATATCGAAAATCAAAATGAAGTTTTCGAAGATTGATGTAAACAGAATCATTTTTCGACGAAATTGCTCTGATCGTAGTCTTAACGCTGTCCCCTATAACTCCAACATATTTCACCGTACTTTTCCACAAAAGTTACACTATTTCATTTGATTACAACCGCATATTTAGCACAATATTCATAACACTTTTGAAAACATACATCTAAACTAAATATGGCAGCCATATTCTGTGCAAAACAAAGGAAATCTAGCTAGAAACCCACTTCAATAATCCTAAAATCGTGTCCGTTTTCCGGTCTACAGCTTCGTCATCGCACGCCAGATGGCGCAGAATCGGAAAAATGACAATAATGACAAGTATGAAAGTTCGCCTGAACTCAATTCATAGTTCCGAGTGTGTTCTGAACAAGTTCGGAACGATGTAAGATCTTCAGAGCATAAAAACGTCTCGAAGCAGGATAGTGTGGTAGTGCCGGCTTCATTCGGACATCAGCCATTTTCAAAGAGATCTCTTAAAATTTTCATTCTCAACTTCAATCATAATGTATACAGTATTCGCGGTAGTCAAGGTCATCATCAGAAGTTGTGATGACATAAAAACTATGGGAAAAATGTCGAACTTTAGCCTAGGAAAGTGACACTCTGACAACTGACGAATTTCATCACTACCACAGTCTCCACAGTCCACTACTACTGATAGAAACTTGTACCGAATTACAGTACTATATTTTTGATTTTTATTTCTGAACACAGATTTTCAGCAGTCATTAGTTGGGTTTGTTTCATGTCGAACCGGTTGGAGAATATTCGGGTCACCAAACAAACGCCAAATATCGATGAATGACATTGTGTCAGCCCAACTTGACCGTAAACTGTCATTCCAATCATTCTGTCCATATCGGTGGAATGAAAAGTGGCAACCGGAAAGGAATGTTGTGTGCAATCAAACGACAGGAATGACGAAACCGGTAGCGGTTTGATATGACACAAACGCAACAAGTGGATCTACTATCCTGACACTTTCATGACAATTGACAGTTGAACATTTTTCTACTCTCGAGGCTATATTCCGAATTCAACTGACAGTACTGAATCTGCTGAATTTTCATTCCGAAATAAAAAAAATTGACTGAAAGTGACAGATACTCGTGAGCAGATATACTATTCATTCCAAATATTGCGACTCAACATCATTCTGCTGAAATTGCAGACTATCAAAAAGTGTGGCTTCAGTGAACTGTCATTATTTTTGAGGGGAAAGGAATGACACATTCATCTCCGTTGTTTTTCAAACATTAGGCCTTGGCTTATCAATAATACATTAATAACATCATTTTGATATCAGAAAATGCCTGTTACTTAGGCTATATTCCGAATTCAGCTGACAGTACTGAATCTGCTGATTTTTCATTCCGAAATCAAAAAATTCACTGAAAGTGACAGATGCTTGTGAGCAGACATACTATTCATTCCAAATATTTCGACTCAACATTCTGCTGAAATTGCTGACTAGCGAAAGGTAGCGTGGCTTCAGTGAACTGTCATTTTATTTCAGAGGGGAAGGAATGTAACATTCATTTCCGTTGTTAATAATATATTATTCTCAATATCAGAAAATACCTGTTATTGATATAATAAGCACTGAGAATAATATTGAGTATGAAGTAGTAGAGGTAACGAAAGAAGAAGCAGTATTGGCTAAATAAATAACTAAATAAACCTGAAATGTCTCCTAAATTCATCATCATTACGTTTTCTATAAATGTTTCAATTCTCAATCTCGTGCATCATTCGAAATTAATAGCAACAAAATGTCCAAGTATTCTTTATCACTCGAGCCTGAATCTGAATCGTCATCGTCAATAATCGTAGAAACTATGGAGGCAACAAGAATCGATTGCTCTTCCATGTTAAATATTGAATATTAATTATCTAGTCCAGATAAACAAGAAACAACAGAGTGACAAATTTCACCAGCTGATCAACTGCTGCTGACTACTGATGAAAACCATGAAAACGTGTCCCGAATTACAGCACTGTATTTTTGATTTTATATTTCGGAACACAGATTTTCAGCAGATTCAGTGGATCTACTTAGGGTCCCTTGATGAAAATTGACGTTAAAGTCATCTTAACAGGGTACGGACAGATCATAGCTGCATTCTTTTTTAATGATGTAGAGACTTTAGTTTTGTCTACTGGCATCCCTGACATTGCTGTCACGTCACATCCATGGGCGCTACAAATTTCAATAATAGGTATGTACAGGGTGTTTACTTGTTGAAGATCATATGGCGAACGAGTTTTGTAATTATGATCCGATTCTATTCAAAATTGGTATGTGGGGGTTTCCGGGGTAGGAGATAATGATCGTTTCGTCAAAATTGGGAAATTCAAGATGGCGGATTCGATTTGGCGAAAGACATTAGTTTATATGATCATTACTCTACCACAAATAGAAAATATGTAGGATGCAAGAGTGAAAATAACGTGACTATAAGTTATACTGCGTATACCTACATCTTTGTTACTTTTATGAATCAATTGTTCGAAAATGACTTTTAATTTGAGGGGGACGGAAAAATCATATGTATAACATGGGGGTAAAGTATATTCTATTCTTTATTTTCCTGCATATTTTACGTATTACTCTTTATCAGCCTACTTTTCGTCCTAGACAAAGTTTTATACATGATATACGTGATATTAGTCACTCCATAAATTCCTCACCGAGCTGGATTTCCAAAAATATATTGAGCACACATGAATAAGTACAGTAGTTTCGGTTTCCATCATTTCTCAATCATAAGGCTCAGCTCATTAAGCTGATAGATAAACTTCTGCTCAGCTTGAAATCAGAATTCATTCAGTCAATTCAGTCAACCCTAGTATACAGTCTAAGAACAGTCTCTCTTAGTGAAATATATTAAGCTTTCAGTACAATTTTTATGTTCCCTACCTCGCAAAGATTATGCTGGAGTAGTACACTTTAAATCTAGAGGACTGTTCATCTATATCTTGGTATAGTTGAATCGGGAATTCCATATGGAAATTACGTATGATACGCCAGTGACCTCAATATAACCTAAAAAACAACGAATGTCAAAAATCTAGTGTTTTTCCCTAGAATTGAATAAGGATGGAACTATATAACTGTTTCACAAACACTTTAGAGTGAGAGGAGACGAGGATCTGTCCGTACCCTGTTAGGATGACTTTAACGTCAATTTCCATCAAGGGACCCTAGATCTACTGACAGTACTGACCAGTTGAATTCGGAATATAGCCTTATTTAGCTCAAGCAGGAGCATCTGCCAGATCAATGACAACTGACAAATTTCACCAGCTGATCAACTGCTGCTGATTACTGATGAAAACGTGTTCCAAATTACAGCACTGTATTTTTGATTTTATATTTCGGAACACAGCTTTTCAGCAGAGTCAGTGGATCTACTGACAGTACTGACCAGTTGAATTCGGAATATAGCCTGTGAAGTCAACTTTCAGTACTGAATCTGCTTTTGTCTTTTTTGGCCGGGGCAGGGCCAGGGTAATGAAGCACTTTGTTAATTACTAGTTTTTTACAAGGTTATTGACTCTTTTTGACATTTGCCACTTGAAGATTGATTGACATTTTGAGATTTCGGGACCTGACTCCTGTCCCTAGGGGATGCGTTTTGTTGTGCCATTCCGGAAGTAATAGAATGAGTGGGCCCAAGAAAACGGATCGGCGCTAGACAATGTGAACATTTGGAACTGTAGAAACATTCAATATTTACAATCTCAAAATCTAATCATATTTTATTTGTCCTCGTATTTGTCTCTGGTATGTATTTTACCATTACCATCATTCTGCTTCTACTCCCATGAATCAAAAATCGATATTGACTAATTCAACCTCCATGATTCACAACCGACGTTTGAAAATATTGATTGAGTTGTTGGCAGACATGCCTTGGATGGAAGAATTCCCGTTTTTCTGTGGTTCCCTTCAATTTTCATTCATTATTATTAGCTGGTATGCGATAAATACTGACAATTTTTTCTTTCAACTGTCTATTCCTGTGTCACAATAATAAGCACATGTCACTTTTATTCGTCATTCCAATTTTCTACCCTATATCGCCCATACGATATCTCAACAAAAATGGCACCAAAATGAGAGGTACTTTTTGAATCTATACGGACGGAAAGTGAAGGATGGAAACAGCCATATTGGTTTGACAAGTTTCGTATTATTTTTTCCCTACGTCGGCATCAACGCCTTTTGGTCGATTTCATTACCTATAGAGATAGAAGTTGGTCCCGCTTCGAGGAGAGCTATGTTTCATATATGAGTAGTAGATATATGGTTTGAATGTTTGAATGCACAACAAAACGTGTACAATGCCAATAACCAGATTGAGTAATGGCACAACAAAACGTACGCACCTCCGTCAGTTTGTATTGGTACATTGGCAGTCTGTTTGTCGGGCCTCGGGCCCATCTCAGTCGGGCTATCCTGTCCTGTCTCCTGATAGTCCTGTCTCAGTCTAGTGTTAGCTAAACATCGAATATTTCAACATCGATGGAATTAAGATATGGTGCGCGTATTCGGCCATTATCACGTATTGAAAATTTCAGAAAAATCACTCGACCGCCTACTATAATTTCTCTACGTCGCAACGAGCGAGACGTTGATTCTACATATTCCCGCTAGATGGTAATCCTGTTATTGCTTCTCAAGGTTGGTAGAACTGATGATTATTTTACAAATTAGAATCAGTAACCAAGGTTGGTAGAACTGATGACTATTTTGTAGAGGAAGGTTGCCTCGATCGCACCCCGCGAGTAACCTTGAGTAACTCATGACGTAATTGGCCCTTTCTTTTGCACGAAAAGTGTAGCACTCTCGTACACTTCGTGTTTGATATGTACGCCGGCGATTGGCCGGCGCATGTATTGAGTTGACAGTTGTCAGTATTTTCGAATATTTGAACCATTTTGAACTTCGGTCACTTCTTGTTAAAATTCGTACAAGTGTAATGATGTAATGAGACTAGTGAATTTAGTTTGTATTTCCATTAATTTCCATAAGATGAGTCTATTCGTGAGAAATGGATTCAATTTTGTGGACGTAATTTTAATTCATTTAATACCAAAACTTGGCGAATATGTTCTGCCCATTTCGATGCCGAGGATTTTGAACGGCACAAGCAGAATTGCTAAATCACACACCAAAGAGAAGAAAACTCAAGGTAGGAATCCCATCAATAATAACCAATACAACAAGAGAAACACCATAAGTATTCAAAATGGACATCAGAAGATATCACACGTGTTTTCAAGTTGAGATATTTGAGCAAGAGTACGTTACCCAAAGAAGAGGAGCTATGTTTATTTGAGAGATTCCTTGAACTATCCTTTATTATAGGTTCAATTATAATAGTAGTGTTATTTTTCATTAATTTTGTTCAGAATCATATTTTGTTATTTTTTTATGCTCAAATACTTCCATCAATTGCTCTCCCATACAACACATGGACATCCGATGGATGTCCATAGGATATCCATTCAGGATATTTTGGATATCCAATGGACATCCAAATAACGTCCAATGGATATCCCATGGACGTCCAATGGATGTCCTGAGGCCACCAACTTGTACGTCCATAGGATATCCTTCACGGACGTCCATAAAATATCCTTCAATGACGTCCATAGAACATCGTTCAAGAACTTTTGGGTAATCTCAAACAACGACAAAAATAATCAAATCAAGATATCATTGATATCAACATTCAGATAAAATATGAAAACAGTCTGATGCGTAATGCGTGCTGATGCTCTGATGCTGTTGACCTTTATTGTCACAGTCTCAGGACTCTCAGGTCACAGTCACAACTGTCACAAGTCACATTGGATAGAAAATGACAGTGGCACAGAAGTCAGAACTTATTTGAGTTCTGTAGTCTGCGTTCGCGTCATGGACCCACCATATATCTAATAACATCTATATGGGTGACAAGATCTCTGAATTGAAGCCAAAAAATTGATAACAAAAGACAGTCTACGGGCAAATTGATACTAAGGCGCATGAGCCGAACACAATAAACGACATCAGTTCTACTCTGTTCTATGCGCATCTGTTAGCTGGCGAGTGAACGTATGATTATTCATTGTCTCGCAGACTGTCATTTGTTTCTCAAAACTGGCTTCAATTTTGAACAAGGAAAGGATAGGACGTTACCCATATAGTTGTTATTAAATATATGGGACCCACATGGACATCCAAAATATGTTTGGTGAGTCCGACACTGCCGACTTTGTCGACATCTCTATGTTATTCTGGGCGTTATTGTTCAACGACGTGGTTCAATGCTCCAATACAGGATATCCCATGGATATCCATTGGATATCCAAGAAGACGTTGAAAAATTCCATATTCGATATATTATATATTTCCTAGTAATATAACTATGTACACACATAGATTTGAATTTTCATCAATTTAATTTATATTCACAATTTATTACATTGATTATATCCGCGCGGGTGAATTTTGGATATCCTATGGATATCCAAAAAGGTCCAAGGATATCCCGACATGAATTGGACATGATTTGGACGTCCATAGGATATCCCGTGTTGTATGGGCTGTTTTTGACTACAATATAATCAAACAATGAAATACTATTTCCTTTTGTATTTTCTATATGTATATCTAGGAAAGTTTGTTAATTTTTCAGAATACAGAGTTATATTGATAAGTAAGTGATCTGTTGTGTACGAATATTGGTCCACTGCTACTACTTCTGGATCATCAGTTGATTATTCTTATATTTTCTGTAGTTTCTTGTTCACATTATCTGATTTGCAGGATATTTATAGGATGAGTAGGTTCATAATCAATGCATTAGTAATCACTAGCTCCATATAATTATGCTCCATACCTCAAAACACACATACCTGGTACCACGACCTGGTAAATAGCCCCTGGAACAAAATTTCAGATAGGTATTCCTCTCTGTACTACTGATCCATCCAAAATTGCCTTCTCATTTCGAAGATTGAAGGTATTATACAGAAGTATATGTAAATATCCATATTTTATAATGGTACTTACTTATAATTATATACTATAAATTAATATAAATATGCTGAGCAGACCAAAAAGTTTGTATCATGTTTGTATCTTGTCGTCTTACTGCCTGTGACGTCACGAGTGACCGTTTCCCCCCTTGCCGCACTATCGATCGAGGCAACCTTCCTATACAAATTTTAATCAGTTCTACCAACCTTGTCAGTAACAGTGGGATTCGCCATCTATTAGAAGATCGACGGAACCATTGCTCTCGCTGTTCTCGAGAGGTCGAGTAAAATTTCTGAAACAAAAGCGCATCAGTAATTACATTATATCTTACTTCCATCATTGTTACAACTATCGATAGTTTCAATAGTTAAAAAAAACTATCGATACTATTGAAAGTATCGATGGTTCTCGAAAGTAGGGTCCCTTGATGGAAATCTGGAAATTGACGTTAAAGTCATGTTAAGATGACTTTAACGTCAATTTCCATCAAGGGACCCTAGTTGAAAGCACTATCGGTATTTTCAAATTTAAATTGATTTACTGAAATTTGTATAGGTTAGGTGCAAATGGACCATTTAATATAAAAAAATAAACAACAACTTGAAATTTTCTCAAGTTATTAAACATTCATCACACTTATTACATGCGAAACATTTAGCATCAAAAAATGTTATATTTTGTTTAAGAAACAGTTACTCATTCGGTCTCTTTGCTTTCAGTCTGTTTCTCCTTCCAGTTATCATAAAAGCAAAGAACTATTCTTCGATAAAAGTTAGTGTGCTACAATGAACTCAAGTGACCTAGTGTCCAACCAGAACATAAACAAGCTGATATATGTCATGTGTCAATTGTCAATAGGTGTGTTCGCATTCATAAAATAAACAATCCGTAACAATCAGAAGTATGCGCAGTTGTACAGAACTAAAAAAATTGGTATAGTCCTGTGGAACTGCGTATGCTTCTGTCTTCTGAGGGTTTCGGACTGTTGACATTCTGAATGCGAGCAAACCTAAAAATATCGATACTATCGGTGAAAACTATCGATTAAACCGATAGTACATTACTATCGATACTATCGATGTTTAGCTAACACTATTGGTCCTGTCACTCCTATCCCTGCCCCTTGTGGATTTTGACTTTTTGAGTTTTGACTGTTTTGACAGTTGACTATTAATTACTATTTTCAGAGTGTTGGGTAACAAAACAAGAATGTATCGATGATTTGATTATTATCATTGCTTTACTTCTTTACTACCTTCTGGATAGTGGATATTGTGCTATACACATTTCAACTTATTTCGTTATGGCAGGTGTTTCAAAAATAACCACAGGATTGACTGGCCTGGCTGTAGCTGCAAAGCCTCATCACACTCTTGGAGTTCTGTATAGTAAGATTCTCAGGACCCTTCAGAAGATGCCACAAGATGCAGCTTACAGGAGACATACAGAGATTATTATAAATGAGAGAGCACAGATTCTGAAATCGAACTCAGATATTGAAGTAGTGGAGAATCAGATTGGATGTGGTCAAATAGAAGAGGTGATTGTCCAAGCTGAAAATGAGCTCATTTTAGCCCGAAAAATGTTGAATTGGAAGCCTTGGGAACCACTACTGAGAGAAGCCCCACCAAATCAGTGGGCTTGGCCACCTGCTCAAGCTAAAAATTAGTCATTACAAATAATCAATCAACTAGTCTGTTATAATTGTAATATATTATGCTTCACAAAAAAAAACACATTTGTAACTCATGCACAACTCATGTCATGTCATCCAATCAAATTTCATGGGACATGGAATTGTCAAAATATTCCTAATTTGCAAATTCTCCTAGGTGATTATAAAAGTCAGTAAGTCCCTAGGTATCAATAGAAATTGACAAAACTAAATTTAGTTAGTGGTAAAGTGTGTACCATGATATTTATTGCACCAAAGGTTCTATAACTATATGAAGTTCAAAATATGTTTTTTTTTCTACAAATGACAGTGTTTTTTTTATAACACTTAACATGGCTTGGCTGAATTCATAGCCTCGCTCTGCTCACTATGCAGACTATGCTCGGCTATGAACTATAAGCCGCGGCAGTCTGAATCTACTACTTTGCTGCCTATGATGTAACAACCTATTATTGGTACAGTCTTCTACAGAAAACATGTCGCACATGGACGACGAAAGCACTCTTAATAACGTCAGCAATAAAAGAGCTCTGACACTATTAAATCTCACGACATGTTTACTGAAGAAGCCTGTACCTATACCTATATCACAGAATACTCAACCAACAGTATTCTGTGCCTATATGAAGCGTGTTGTCGGTCGAATTTTCCAACACTCTGTATTCAGTAATATAACCAAAAATACTTATATTTGAACAGAGCATGTAGAAATATCATGCAATTCTTAAGTGTATGTGATTAACTAATGATTAATAATAATATACATAGGTAATTATAATAATAAATGCCAAAAAATGTTTCAGTAATTTATGAACCATTGTGGTTATGAAACGTTTCAGTAGATCAATGTGGAAATCGAATCTACTGACAATTCAGTAGAACTGGCAACCTTGTAGCCGACGCAAAGTGCGTACGAAAAGCAATGAACTCAATTTATATTGAGTTCATTGACGAAAAGTACTTGCCTTTGGAAATAGTCGGTTTTTCGTTCGGAAATTAGAACGTAAAATGTGATTTTTCGTAGTCCACCAAAAATATTATTCATAAATCAACTTGCGAGTGAATAAGCCAGATTCAGATAACAATATAACTATTCATATCCGATATGGTCTAGTGGCTAGGATAGCTGGCTTTCACCCAGCAGGCTCGGGTTCGATTCCCGGTATCGGAAGTTTACTTTTTTTAAACTTTTTGTTGCTTTGACATTTTTTCTATAGATTATATACATAGAAGGTGATTTAAACTGTTTAGAAAAAATGGTATGGGTGATGTAGAGAACTGGGAAATATATACAGTCTGTCCAAGATAAGGTTGCACAGCATGCATGGGGATCTCGGAAACGGTAGGAGAAACGAAGTCGGTTAAATGGGGAAAAAGTTGCGCATTCGGAAGCTCATACCAACAGCCTTCGAAAATTTTCAATTTTTTTTTTAGTTTTTCAGTTATATCGAAAAAAGTGAATTTTTGGAATCTCTATTTTATTTTTTTTCTCCGTTATTATTAGAGATACAGGAAAACTGAAAATACTTCTTCATAGCAACTTTTGATGACGTTTAACGTGGTGATACCGATTTTTCTATGCGACGTTTCGTATTCGTAGAACCATCATCAACTTTTGTTTTTTGAATACGGCCCTGATAATTCTTTCACAGATTCTGAAAGCTTTTTTTATTCTGGATTCAACCATGTATTATACAAGGTGGTTTGAATGTGTTTCGAACTATTTTTAGCCATCATCAATGTTTTTTTCGAATTTCCAAAGGAAAAATGTCATCAGTTTCAATTATTTCTGATTATTCAGTGTCAAACATTGTTGGACTAGTTATTCAATACTGAAAAGTGGAAAAAAATCCACAAAATTATTCAATGCAGCGCTTCGAATTGTTTAATTGTATTCATATTTTAATTCGAAAGAGCTTGTCATAATTAAATTTTTCGAACTAATTATTCCTATAAGTCTATCAATCGGAACTAGTTGATGAGGTATTAGTTTGTTGGCTAATTTTCCTTCAAAATAAGTGGAACTGCAGATGGCATTTTTCCTTTGGAAATTCGGAAAAAAAAATTGATGATGGCTAAAAATAGTTCGAAACACATTCAAACCATCTTGTATAATACATGGTTGAATTCAGAATAAAAAAAGCTTTCAGAATCTGTGAAAGAATTATCAGGGTCGTATTTAAAAAACAAAAGTTGATGATGGTTCTACGAATACGAAACGTCGCATAGAAAAATCGGTATCACCACGTTAAACGTCATCAAAAGTTGCTATGAAAAAGTATTTTCAGTTTTCCTGTATCTCTAATAATAACGGAGAAAAAAAAATAGAGATTCCAAAAATTTACTTTTTTCGATATAACTGAAAAACTAAAAACAATTTGAAAATTTTCGAAGGTTGTTGGTATGAGCCTCCGAGTGCGCAACTTTTTCCCCATTTAACCGACTTCGTATCTCCTACCGTTTCCGAGATCCCCACCCAGGTAACACGGTACTCTCCGCGATATCTCTAAGTAGTTATCTTCAGGATCAAAATGCGAAATCCTTCTGCGAGGTATCAAAGATCACTATAGGCTGTCACCATGGGAAATACTCTCTGGAGTCGTCCAAAAGAAATCGTGGAGATCTCGCCTCAGATTTGAGATATTCATCATTATTGCGAATCCTTGAGGTTATCTATAACAGGAAATGAATAGGCATTTCTTTCTGCGAGCACCCAAGGATATCCTGGACGTAACAAGATCGAGAATTTCCCATTGCGAGCTCCTAAAGTAATCACAAACATAACCTGAATAACTAATGAATATTCAAACAAAAATATTGAGTTGTTTTTTTCAATAGCCTTTTTAATTCAAATACTGGGTGTCCCAAGTTATCGTTTATAGGCAATATCTCGCCTATTTGTCAAGATATCAAAAGCATTTAAAAACTACATTAGATGGCATTAAATAATCTTCCTAATGGCTCATGAAGAATGTGATATATTTGGCAGCCCCCGGATGGTAGATACTGATCTAGTAGCATATTATTGTCTCTGAAAATTGCGTGTCAATCTATTTGGAATACAACGATATAGCACATACTTTGTGTTTTGTTCTTGATAACAACAAAAACATGAACATTTTGTGACTTTTTTACGTTACTCAAATGACAAATTGCTTTCACCCATGTGTTCAAGAAGTTCACAAATAAGAAGTATGGATTGCATTTTTGTTTCAAAATATTAATGACAGATATTCCATTTTGAACTGCAGAACATCAATCATTGCAGACGGTACCTACCTAGTGTAATGATTAATCTAATTTCATTGTGGGACATTTTTACGAACATGGGAGGAGGCAATTTTCAATCGATGTAACGTAAATGAGGTCAACAAAATTTATTGTTAATGTTGTTATTAATGAACAAAATACAAAGTATCGATGTGCTATCGTTCATTCCCGAAATAGGATGATTGGCAATTTTCAATGACAATATACAGGGAGTCCATTAAATGAAAATTGAGGAGTTGCTACCAGGTGGCTGTCCAATCTTATACACTTTTTTTTTGAGTCATAAAGAAAGTTATCTGATGTCATTTGAAGCATTTTTAGTATTTTTTGTTCATCTTGTCGAGTAAGCAAGTTTTTGCCGGTACCTTTACGATAACTTGGGACACCCAGTATTAACATGAAATGGGAGTCATTAATCTATGATAATAATAATAATTGTATACTAGATACTAGATTTTCTTACTGATTATTTCAAATTTTGCAGTGATTTAATGATAATTAATTATCTGCTCTGACGAAAAAGACAAAAATATTCTAATTCAGGTGGGATCGAGAATCAAATATCTTCCTCAAATTCGTGGGTAGATATCGGACGACCTTTTTTTTTTAAAGGATACCCGGCCAACTCCTCGGAGATTTTTTCAAGTGATGAAGTTTACTTGATCAATGTCTTGCTATAGAATAATATATAATTAAAGCTCATTACGTTGATCTAACTCTGAGTTTGGTAACTCAATCTTTTTCGCTGAAATAAATATCCAGTGAATTTAACTCCACCCCAAACAATATAGCTGGCGCTAGTTAGACTTCGCCGACAGGAGACTGCTGATAACCAATGACTTCTCAAACATTGAACACCTTACCATATTAGTGGCGATCATGTGGCGATTGATGCAAATATCGCTCTTAAAGGCCTCGTTATAAGGTGATGTGCACGGATTCTTGAACAATTCATTGTTGCGAGCACTTGAAGAGTTCGCTATTAGTAATTGATGCGAATTTCCCAAAGTTCTCTTCACAAGGCGATGCGTGCGAAAATCTCAAACAGCTCGTAGTCGCGAGCACTTAAAGACCTCGACAGAAGCAATTGATGCGAATCTCCCAATGTCCTCGTCACAAAGCAATGTATGCGAATTTCTCAAACAGCTCATGATTGCGAGCACTTTCAGTTATCGCCAGTGGCGATGGAAGCGTATATCTCAAAGTGCGCGCCTGAGGGCATTGTATGAGAATTTCTGCGTGCGATATCTTCAAGACCTCGCTGAGCTCAGCCTAGGTGGCGGACATTTGGCATAGATATAGCACTCTCGGCGATCTCTCAAAGAAGTTACAAAAGGCATCACAATTTCCTAAAAGGATTTCTTCAAGATATCTTTAGGACCTCTTTGTGCTGGCTGGGCATGCTGTGCAACCTTATCTTGGACAGACTGTATATTCTTGGAACAGTCAGTCGTGTCTTTGAGAAATAGTTGATAATAAAATTATATGGAAGGAAAACACAATTATTATTTCCTCTTGAAATTTGAGGGGGGCGTTCAGTTTTTCTAAAGATGAAAAATGGCCTACTCGGTCGGGGTCACGTGACTCCCGCTACATGTCAAAAGTCATTTTTCAAATTAATCTGAAATAAGCATGTTTGTTTGAATTTCAAAACATTCACCGAAAAAAATTGTTTCTATTCCGATTTAACACATGTTTCTTGAATTTTGACGTCCCAGACAGGACAGAATATTCCACGAATATTCTGACAACGATCAAATATACTTATTTTATAACATTCTTATAGAATCTGTTCTCAGAATGATCATAGAATATTCTCATTCTGCAGCGAATGTTCTATGGACATTCTATTTGACATATATTCTCAGAATATTCTTTTTGCATGTTCTGATGGGAATATTGTTTTTAAATATTCTGTGAATATTCAGAATCGTATCAAAATAAATTATATTGAAGTTCCTATTCCTGTATCAATATTTAATGTTTACCCTCTGCACACTACCCATTCATTATCTAGCCTCAATGCTGATTATCCCATAACTGATTCAGTGTTGTCATCTGGCGAAGTGGTTATAGGGTTTCAGGTTCGTAAAAATTCAATCACAAAGCAGGTTCGCATCTCCACCGGAGCAAGCTTTTTTAATTTCCTAATTCGGAACCCGTCGACCGATTTTCTGAAACGAAAATTCCATATTATTCTACTCAACGAGCTCTATTCGAAAATGTTAACAAATTTGAAATATTCAGATTTTCAAGGCCTACTTTTGTTTGTTGAAGGGGTCAAAATTTCAAAAACGACTATTAGGCATTTTTTTCCGAAACATTGACTTTCCTATTCGATTCAAGCATAGCTGAAATACCTCTATACGAAAGGACCCCGCACTTTTAGTACGTAAAATGGTTCTCGGTGAAATTTTCTGAATTTTCAGTATGTTGTAGAATTCGATGAACTGATTGAACCTGCAGAATCGTAAAGTTCTTTGATGAACAGATCCTGAGATACAGGGCGTTGAAGTTACAAATCGGTATTTTTCATTTAATTATTTTCTCGAAATTCAAAGATGCCAAGTACAATTTTCTTCGCTCATATCAATAACGAACCTCCATATTACTCAACATAATTCAGATGGTTCAGATGATGTTATTGTTTACAGAGTGAAACATATAAACATTTCAGTGATGTCTGAAAATTCGATGTAATAATGAAATATCGAAAAAATAATTTAGGCATGCAATATAGTATTCTCATTCCATCATGAATCACAGTTCATACATTTCATACAGGGTGATTTGAAAAATTGGTGACACCTAATAAGACCGATTTATTCATACACATCCTGTATATTCGAGTGAATTGCTAACCTTTCAAGATAGCTGATACCGTATGAACATGATTTCTTTGAGATATATAGGGTGATCATGAAGATTTTCGATGATGAAAATGACAAAAAATCGTGTTTTTTGAAATCACCCTGTTATTCATGATTAACTCGGTGAAATTCCAT